AGCGCCGGCTGCGGGGTGGGCGCGCCGGGTGCATTTTGCAGCGAGGAGGGCGCATTTTGCACGGCTGGGGGTGCATTTTGCACGGGCGGGGGTGCATTTTGCACGCATGGGGGTGCATTTTGCACGGGCGGGGATACATTTTGCACGCATGGGAGTGCATTTTGCACGCATGGGGGGTGCATTTTGCAGAGGGGGCTTCATTTTGCCGAGAGGAAGGTACACTTTGCACGCATGGCACATTTTGCACGGGCGGTGGTGCATTTTGCAGAGAGCAGGGGGCTTTTTGTACACAGCGGGGTGTCCTGTGCAGGACTGGGGTGATTTTTGCACGCGCGAGGGTGCATTGTGCAGAAAGGGGGGCGCATTTTGCAGATTGGGGCGCATTTTGCAGAGAAGGAGGTACATTTTGCAGACAACGAGGTACATTTTACAGAGAGGTGGGGTACACTTTGCAGAAAGGTGGGGTACAGTTTTCCCATGGGGGTGAGATGATTGCACCTGCGGGGCCTGGGGCCGGGGGCGCTGCAGCCCATGTGCCCGCAGCCTGGCGTGGGTGTGTAGTGCCCAGCACAGCAGGCAGAGAGGGTCACAGCCCAGAGGTGCCTTGTGGCCTGGGGGCTGGACATCAGGCGGGTGCCTCGTGGTGGGGGGCTTCTTTTCTCCTTGCAGAGAGTCTCTGCGGACCTCTGCCAGCACCTGCCTTCCCCGTGGAAACGTGGCCCAGTGCAAAGCGCCTTGCACTGGGCACTGGCCCTGGCAGGGACCCGAGAGCCGCACTTGGCACGGCCCAGGCAGGTGCCCAACACGGCTGCACCATTTCTCCTTGGCATCAGTACAGCCCTGCTCCAACACGGGCCTGAAGTGTGGGGATGGGGCAAGGACCCCTGCCCCGGTTCCATCGTGGCCACTTCAGTGGCTCCAAGTGAACCCCATCACCGCCCGGCCCTCTCCACCTCTGATGCGAGGTGTGCACACCCCTGGCGTACAGAGCTGGGCCTGTCCAGACTGGCACTGACTCAAGCCCTGGCTACGGGCACATCCAGAGCAAGGGGGACGTTCCCAAGGGCGCAAAGTGCCTCAGATCAGGTGCTAACAGGGTTCGGGCACCTAAATGCACATGTAGGCCCCATTGGAGGGGTTCAAATCCCCCTCCAGGTGGTTGCAACGACCCACAAGCCCCGAATCCTAGCCTCTTCGGGCTCCCTCTCACCTGGGAAGCTAGCACTTTCCAAGTGTCAGGAGAGCCCGGGTTCCACCGGGGTCGGGGTCAGGGCCACCGGCTGCCCAGCACGAAGGGCCAGAGACTGGGCCAGCGGGGATGTGCCTGGGGGGAAGACTTGAGGCTTTCCTTCCCTGCCTTGCACTTGTGCCAATAAACATGTGGGTGAAATGCCGTCTTGAGCTGGCCTGGCCCTGCCTGATGTGAAAGCTGCAGTCAGACCCTTTTGCTGGTATTTCCAGCCTCCTCTGGTTTCTCCCTGCATCTGGAGCTACTTGGAAAACCTCCCCGGACTCTCAAAAGCTGGCCCAAGGCATGGCCCCTGCCTCCTCTCCCTGCCCCATGTCCAGGTGGGAGCTGTGTTTTCCTGGCTGCGGGGACTGGGGTATCAGCCGGCTCGTGGGGGGATCCTGCAGCTGGATCCAGCTCCATGGCCACCTGCATTGAGGCAGCAGCATGGGACACATCGCCTGCATATGCAAATTCTTCCCTTTCTGTGGATCGGACCTTAAAAAAAAGAATAATCGGGCGTTTAAGCTGGAGCGATGGGCAAAGTGCTGGCTGTAAGCACCTGTCCGCACAGGCCCACGCAGGGTTTGGTCCTTTGGAGAGAGACGCAGGGGGCATAGAGCAGAGCCCTGGTGCTGCTTTCTGCCCGGCAGCCGCCTCCTGAGGTCACCGCGCCGCGTCCGAGGCTCTGTCCCAGCTCGGATCCATCCTGGGGAGAGAAGAGGAGACAACGGGTCCTTCTGGGTGCTGTGGAGATGGGGGGCTGCTAGACCCCTGTTTTGGCCCCTCTCCTCCACCTTGCCCTGGGCCAGGGGAAATGAGAGCAGCTCCTGGGCTGCTCTAATGCAGGGGAGGGGGTTTCAGAGCGGCCCAGAAAGCCAAGGGGAGGGGGCAAGCCCTGGGCCAGGTCCCAGACTGGTTCTCACACTGGTCCAGAGGGAGAAGGGCTCAGATGGGGACCTGTCCAGAGCCTGGTTTGCCAACTCAGCCTGTGTCTGCCTTGAGCACCAGAGCAAGTTGCATTTTCTCCTGATTTGGGCCCACCGTGACTGCGTCTGCCATGACCCCCCGAGCCCATGGAGCCCCCAGGCTGCCCCCAGAGAGCAGAGCACGGGGATGCAGGACTCCCTGGCTCCTTTCTTTTTGGTGTTGCTACTGACTCAGTGTATGGCCTTGGTCACATCACATCGCATCCCTGCACGGCAGGGGACACCCAGATGTCCTTCAGCACGGCAGGCTCAGTCTGTTGCTCCCAGGGCAGGGCCCCCCCAGTCTATTAACCCCCTGTATCCCAGTGCGAGGACCCCCTGCCCACCCTGATGCTCGCGCCGAGGGGGGCACTCACTGCCGGATGCACTCGGGGATGTGTGCGTGCTGCAGGGGGATTTGCCGCGCCAGGTTCCCCAAGCTGTCCACAAACCG